CCACAGTCAGCCCTGGGCCTGGTTTTAGCAGCTGATACTGAACTTCTCCAGCCTGTCCTCGCACAGAGGTAGTCAATTTGATCTTTGTGTATTCCGTCTGAAGAAGCCCATGTGTATAGTTGCCTTTTGTGTTGTTGAAAAAGGTATTTATTACGAACAAGTTGTTGGTTTTGCAAAATTCTGTGCTGCGATCTCCAGCTAGATGCCAGCCCTAGCCAAGCTGCGGTGGGTCGCGGTCTTTGTAGCTGCCCAGTGCTCAGCCACAGGGAAAGGACACTGACATTAACAGTACAGGTCCCAGCACGAGGAAATCGTCGGAAAGGACTGTGTGCCAAGAAACAGTAACTGCTCGCGCAAAGCACAGCTCGGCAGACTGCCTGTCGGGGCCGCTGTGAGTCCACCGACCGTGGGCTGAGTGTGAATAAAGGTAAGACCATAGAAGACTGAAAGAGACAAGTAAGTAGGTCATCCTGATAAAGACACACATTGAACTCCGCATTGTGATCTTAAGTGATCGTGTTGGGAAGCCAAGCATCACGGAATGCCAGGTTATTAGAACAATGTTCTTGCTTTGAGGGAGTACTTGAGTAGAGGCCCAATGTCGGTCTGCTACCTTAATACTTAAATATAGATCTATTTCCCTATCGTTATATAAAAATGTATTTACATATGTACATGCCTATATTTAGATCTCTATAAATGCTCTTTGCCTCCTAGTTCTTTCCTCTATTTCCTTTTACTTCCCTGTTGTCCCATTATCATGCTCAGCCTTCATTTGGTTTTCAGTAATTCCTCTGGTTACATTGCCCTTGATCAAGCCCCACCAGGCATCCTACCCCCTCCTTGCCATCAGTTTTAGATCACTTGATGTTCCCTTGTCCCTGGGTTTGTTAACACCCATTTCCTTTCCCCCACCTCCCCGTCTCCTGTGTCTCCAGAACCATCGGTACCATTGTTTTCTCCTCCGAATTGTTTTACCCAAGTGCCTTATATAGATAGACACGCAGAGATAATAAGCACAAGACAGAGCCAAACAAAGCAACAAGAGAAAGCAACAAAAACCCAACGACAAGAAGAAAAGCCTATAAATAGCTCCAGGTCTGTTTGTTGACCTTCAGGAGTGCCTTCCAGTCCAGTCTGATGGGTTGCCACACCCTGGCCCCAAGTCTATTTTTGGCATTCCCTGGACACTTCATTGCTTTGCTCCCTTGCTGCTCTGTTGCATGCCCTTAGCGTCTTGCCCCGGTGTGGTGGGGTCAGATCGGGCACAATTTCTGCACTGTGCCTCCAGTGTTGTCCCCTGTAGGGCTGTGGGTCAGTGAGGGACGTTGTGTCTCAT